AAAAATCTTAAACTTTGTTAAATGGCTTTGCAAAACATCTTTTATCAGATTTTCATAAACTTTTCTCACCATTTACATAAGACTAACAGCCCTATAATTACTTAGACAATTTTTATCACCTCTCTTGAAAAAGAGGAGTAAATTAGCCAACTTCCAATCATCTGGCACCTGTCCACTTGTGCTAAATTTTTTTGTATCTTTTATTTTCTGTCATTTTAAAGCACACTGGCAAAAATTTAAACATTTGGTTGTTCAAGACTACTCTTTTAATATCCACTATTGAGAAAAGTAAACACTTAAACCCATGCTTTATTTTTCAAAAAGCTATTGTTTCTTTTATATATTCTTGTAAAGTGATGGCTTCTATTACTGCCAGTGACAAGTCATTCCATATGTCAGTTATCCTATTATAAAAGTTTAACTGGCTTAATCAAATGTACAATGTCCAATGAACTGATTCTGTATTATAGAAGGAATGTTGATTATGATTCCAAATTTACTTTGTATATCTACAATGTGGCAAGCTTTTAATAAAATATACAAAATCTTAAGTGTGTTACAAAAAGTTATACTCGAGCTATGTGACTCAGACTCTTGATAAGTCAGAGTGCAAGGTGATCTTCATGCGAGAAATACGTGGCCGTACCGAGAGTGGTACGTGCAGTGTGGCTGCATAGAGTGCCAACTTGTAGGGAGTGTGAATTTGTATCTGTGAAGATAAGGATACAGTTTTTTCAAGAGGGGTGAAGAACATACATATATTGTATAGGGTGCCTTCAGTGATCAGTATGGCCATGGAGGAATAAAAATACCTATGTCCATCATACAGTTTGCATATTGAATTTGCATAACCTCTAGAACCTCCAAAATTAATATCTTGTATATTCTATCTGTTACAATTCTCCTCTGTCTGGAACTGTTACTAAATCAATAATATAGAATAAAATGAATAAAACAATAAATCTTGCATCAAATACATAATACCATGTTGAATAGCACTCTGTAAAAGGTCATGGCACAGTCATTCTGACTCCCACCTGTTCTCATAGGATTAACTGGAGCTTAGCCTGTCTTTTGCAGATCTTAAACTAGGGTCCTCGTGTTGTCTTCAGAATATAGCTCAAAGAAATTGCAGGCCTTTATCCTATAACTCTCTTGGAGAATCTTATACAATTCAATAAGATCACCTCGTCTTTCTTTTCTGAAAGTGAAATATAAGAAAGATTAATATATCCCCACAAGATAAACTTCCATCCCCAGAATCAACTTAGTGGTCCTCCTCTGAACCCTTTCCAGTTAGTCAGTATCTTAGCCAAGGAGACCAAATTTGTACACAGTATTCAAAGTGAAACCTAATTAGTGATTTGTATAAAGAGATCATTGCCTGTTTTAACTCTCCAACAACATGTCTATGAATACACCCTAAAGTTTTTGTTAGTTTTGCTACTAGTAACAGAGCTCTACACTTGTTTTTTTTTTCAGTTACACCAATGCTTGGGTTCCAAAATTTATTAAACATCTGATCTAAATTATGATAACCCAAATGCATTGTCTTACAATCACAATAGTTAAAGATTATTTTCCAAATATTTCTCCAACTAAACAGTTGATCTAAATCATTTTGTAATAAATTTTTATATATATATATATATATATATAATGAAATAATTAGTTTCAATGCTATTAATCCCATTGGTCACCTTAATGTCATAACGGATAATGCCTATGGTAATAGCTCCCAAATGCTTTGGGGATATTCCATCTACCAGACAAAATTAAAACGTTGATGTTAAACTAGCCAGCAAGCATGGAAAATCAATTAATGGTATAGATTGAGTGCTTACACCCACAATGTCTCAACTCCTACTGCCTTTCACTGTTTGCAGCCAGTTGTGGGAAGGCAGTTATCCTTAAGAGTTCTTATAATGAAACTACCCTAATATTTCTACCGTATGTAACTCTCCACCTCTGCCCTTACAAAAGAAATAAAATGATCTTAAATAGAACTTCAAGCCGTACCCTAATATTTCTTACATAATTCATAATTTATTCACTTAGAAGAACGCTGGAAAGCCCAGACTACTCCAGCTACTTGAAGCTAGTCTTTCCATTCTGGTATACTGAATAAGATTATGATTGTAATATTAGCTACTTAAAAGTAGCTAATGTCCTCTAGTGACAAGAAAGGTATTTTCCTTATCGAAAATTTATTTTTTAAATATTTTTCATTTTTTTTTTTATAAAACAGTGTAAAAAGTTTCTTAATTGCCAATATTTGTAGCCATTCTAGTTTATTTATGAATAATATAACATTATCCATAAAAGCATTATCATTATTACAAATCTAAAAATGTTTTTCAGCTGAGATATGATGGTGATGCCTTTTAACATCATACATGGAATAACACTATTGTGGATGGACCGAGAATGGGAAAATGAAATTCCCTCCTCTTATCAAAAAGTGCTTTGCTTTGCCTTCCACTCAATTAAAAAGTTGGCACGAACATCATTGTTATTGCTCTTTTTCAGTTGCAAGTTCTTTCGGTTATATTAAGTTTGGTGTAAAATTCAACTTGTTTATGGCAATTAAATCATCTATGTAATGAAATGTGTACACACACACACACACACACACACACACACACACATAT